ATCATCTATACAATGAGCAACAATGAGGTACCAATATCACAATTCATATGACTCATGAAAGCACCGATCACATCATAATATAATGTCAAGTTGTTAACATTGACCTGTCTTCTGTCCAAAAGTATGTAATCGACACATACAATATTGACATCATGATATATCGTATTCACATAACATGTAAGACATAGAAGTTCACAAATGTTAGAAAAAAATAATATCACATGACATAGGTGATAGAACATTGGAGGTCCACAAATGATGTCCAATTCTCATACAGTACTACTAATGAATTGCATATTGCATATGACATAATTACACATATGCAGCTAAGGTCAAAAGGAGATGATCGAGAGAAGTCTCGATGAAAAAATTGGTTGACGCGATGCCGACGGAGTCACGGACTGAACTCCTGGATAGATTGATGGATAAGGTGGACCTGGATGGGCTGAATCTTTACACAATGAAAACGCTCATGTCAAATGGGCCAATTTGAGTGGTTATATGGGCTGTGAAATTCGGATTATTCGCCAAAACGTTTATCGGATAATCCGCTTAAAATAGCGGATAATCCGTATCCGCCGGATATTACCGATACCATATCCGCATCCGCATGCAACTATCCGCATCCGGACGGATATATCAAAACCCTTACCATATCTTCACTTCGGACGGATTCAGAGCAGATCGGATCGGATAATATCTGCTCCGTTTTCACCCCTACTCGAGATTCAGCATCTTGCCTGCCACTAGATCTGCTTCCTCCAACCATGCTTGTTCCTCCAGCGTCTGTGCCGCCATATCCACTCCGTCTCCATGCACGTGGGCCTCACTAGAGCCGGTTGGCGCCGAAGCTCGAGCCCAAAGCGTTGCCCTCAATTGGAACACCGCTCTCCCCTAACCTGGGATCGGATGGCTCATTGACGCCACCTACAGCGCCGACACCATCAACCGTCTCCTATTCGACTTCCTTGACTAGTACGTCCCCGCCATACCACTAGAGAGGAAGGCAGGGAGTGAGCTCGATGCCTACACCAGGGCAGAGAGGGAGGAGGTGGGGATGCTGGCTAATACTGTTTGACGTCGACGTGGGTAGGGGGCATGAGGATGGTTGACCATGCCCGCCGTCAGGGCGCTAGCTTCTTTGCCGCACATGCCACTATCTAGACTGACCGGCCTCTCGAGGCTGCCGTCGTCATGGTAGCAGAGAGGAAAGGAAGAGTGAGAGAAGAAAAGGGAAGGGAAAAGGAAATGTGACACTGACATATGGGTTCCACATCTTGAGTCAGCCGTCAACATGCCATGTTAGCGAAAACAACTCTCAAAGCCGCTAAGGGAATTAAATTACATCCGTTTCAATAGTTAGGGGGTGAGGGTTAATATATTTGTTATCACGATTGAGGGATGCGAATTATATTGGAGCAATATTTGATGGAGTCAATCCGAGAAAGAATACTACTATGTTACTGTTACAGCCCGGTGCATTCAGGGAATGCTGCTCCTTGAGGGCCTATTCAATTTATATACACTAGGGTTGGGGCGGGGGGTTAGTGCGCACCGTTTTGCACAAAAGCCCCTCTCCTTTCAAGTTCTACAGCGTGGTCCTAATTAGCGATTTTTCTCTCCTTCGCATAGAATATCCAGTCTTTCGAAGGGCCTATAAGTAAAGCATCCACTTAGGGATACTGTTCACCGGGGGGGGGCTCGACCGAATTACACGCGAAGCGGAGGACCTTTTTGCAAAAATTCCACCCACGCCCCTCCCGCCGCTCTTTATATTCTTCCGATAAGGTTTTATTGAGGTGTGAAATTAATCTCACTTAAGACCCTCTTTGTTTATAGGCTTATAAGCCAAAAAGTACTTTTCATTTGGCTTTTCTAAAACTATAAATCACTCACTGTTAAGAAAAAAAAAGTTTTTTTTGGCTTATGACACCACCATTAAACTTAGAACTTTCAATTTATCGGCTTATAAATCATATAAGTGCCAATAAGTCTAAGCCTAAACAAATAAGCCCAGGCTTCAATCTCTCTCAGTGAATGGATTAACCGAACAAAACCATAAGGATTAACAAAACTAAGGCTGTGTTCTTTGCTCAGTGTTCCCAACCCCTTTTCCTCGTATTCCGTGCGCACGCTTTTCAAACTGTTACACGGTGTGTTTTTTGAAAAAAAAAATTCTATATAAAAGTTGCTTTAAAAAATCACATTGATCCATTTTTTTTAAAAAAACAAACACTTAATTAATCAAACGTTAATAAATTGCTCTATTTGCCATGCGGAGGGAAGGAGTTCTCAGCCCACAGAAAAGAACGCAGGCCTAAGGGTTGGAGGGAATTGAGGTGGATTAATTCCACCCCTCCAAATCCCCCTCAACCTTCGTGGGAGGGATTAAGGCCATGTTTGTTTCAGTTTATGATTATTATAATCTAGATTATTAATCCAGATTACTATAAGCTGGATTATAATAAGCTGATATATAATAAGCTGTGAGTTGTTTGTTTGTCTGGATTATTGGAGGTATGGATTATTGGGTTTGAAAGGCTAAAGTCTATAATGCCCTCAGCTATCTGTTAGGTCGATGGTATAGGTGGGTAATTTTTCTCAAATATGTAGGAGTAGTGGGTCTTTAGCCACTCAATAATCTGAAAAAAGCTCCTCTAGAGCAACTTATCAGATGATACTACCTCTGTTTTTTAATAGATGACGTCGTTGACTTTTTCTCACATGTTTGACCATTCGTCTTATTCAAAAATTTTATGCGAATGTATAAGATATAAATCACACTTAAAGTACTATGAGTGATAAAACAACTCATAACAAAATAAATTATAATTACGTAAATTTTTTGAATAAGACGAATGGTCAAACATGTGAGAAAAAGTCAATGGCGTCATCTATTAAAAAATGGAGAGAGTAATAATCTGCTATAATAATTTACTTGTTTGTTTTAGCTTACTACTAATAAGTTAGATTATAATAATCCTAAGCTGAATCAAACAGAGCCTAACTTAACAACACTTTATCGGTTCTGTCGAGAATCACGATTATTGCTTGGTTAAGAAAAAAAAACTGATCAAAATAATACAAAATTTACGAAAAAGTTTGAATTTTAGTTTAATTTTTTTCTTGGTTACCCGGTTTACCGAGCAGTTTATTGATTCGAACAACTCGATAAGTCTAACCATCACGAAAACTGAGCGGCACACTTCACCGTCACATTTGATAACTATAGTTTGAGTGTTGCTCCTGGTAATAAAACATTTATTAAAATTTTTTTAAAAGCAATCTATTATATTATTAGAGGAATAGAAAAAGGAGCCTCCACGTTCGCTCTCATGGTTTAGAAATTCTCATATTAATCAGAGAAAAAAAAGACAGTTCATATAGAAATACAATTTAGAAATAGCTGAAATTTGAAATTAAAAAAAGAAATATTATAAGAGGAGACTAGAGTCCATATAGAAATACAATTTAGAAATAGTTGAAATTCAAAATTAAAAAATAAGGAATATTAGAAGAGTAGACTAGAGTTCATATGGAAATACAATTAAGAAATAACTGAAATTCAGAATTAAAAATAAGAAATATTAGAAGTAGAGTATAGAGTCCATATAGAAATACAATTAGGAAATAATAAAAATTCAGAATTAAAAATAAGGAATATTAGAAGTAGAGTATAGAGTCTATAGAAATACAATTAAGAAAAAAATAGAAATTCGGAATTAAAAAATAAGGAATATTAGAAGTAGAGTATAGAGTCCATATAGGAATTTAAAACTAACTAAAATTCGGAATAAACATAAATAAATTAAAAGTAGAGTTTATAGTCCATATATAAAAACAATTTACAAATAACTAAAATTCGAGATTAAGAAAATCATGGAAAGAACAATTTAAAGTCAATATAGTCAATATAGGAATGCAATTTAGAAGTAACTGAAATTCGGAATTAAAAATTAAAGAATATTGAAAGATGAGTTTAGAATCCACATAGAAATACAATTAAAAATAATAAAAATTCAGAAATAAAAATAAATAATATTGAAAGAAGAGCATAGAGTCTATATAGAAATACAATTTACAGAAAATTTGGAACTAAAAAAAAGAAATATTAAAAGACGAGTCTAGAGTCCATATAGGAATAGATATAATTTACAAATAATTAAAATTTGATATTAAAAATAATTAATAACTACCACATATACAAAATACAATATGAATATTACCCATTAGTAGTAGTTTCGTAAATTTATTGCAAAATTTAAAATTATGTTGTCATTTTAATATATTTGAATAATATATTGAGAAAACATATATGCTATTATATGAGAGAAAATATAGTGATGTTAGTCGCGAAAGCTGTATGGGCCACCATGCTATTTGAAATACCCCATCACGGGTTAAAGAACGTGCGGCCGTCCGTTGGTTATTTCCTGGGTCAACTTCTTTCCGGTGCACCGTCTGCTTCACCGTTAAGGCGACATCCCCGTACCGTGGTCCGTGCGGCCGGCGCTGCTCTGACTTCCCCAACCCAAAGCCGTGTTTGTTCACGAGTCACCGTAGCCACGGCTCGTGAAGCCGCCTTCTCCCTTTTAGCTCCGGCCATCAAACGCCGCCCGCCCGGCGTCATCACCCGCCGATCTCAATAATACTAAGTCGCCATTTCGGTTGCACACACATGCAGTGCAGCACATTTGGGGATCAATCGAATTATGCTTGATACCTCACAGTTCACAGCTGCTGCACACCAAACAGACACTGTTTAATCGGTGACAGCGTCAGATTAGCAATGATTAAGGGATCAACAGTTGAGCGAATCAGCTACTACGAGTATTCAGCTACCTACAATCTCGCAGGTACACTTGTAACACTAACATAACATGTACTGTGCACCAACCAACCTGCTAATAAGCGGCTAAGCTAGCTAGGCGGCTACCCACTCCCTTGCTTTTTCTCGCTATCAATCACAATAATCCAATCAACTTCCCAACCGAAATGCCATCCCTTTTGCTTCCACAAAACGCCTCTACTCCGCTACGCTATGGCTACTACCTGACAACGATCAAGCCATCGTCAGGATAGCTCCAGGGGAGAGTCCCTCTCACGTTAGGTTGTTCCCTTCCCCTGAATTCCTAACCATTTTCTATCATAGAAATCACATATTTTTAACACCACCATCTCCCTCCTGGCCTGTGAGGCGAGCACGTTTGTTTAATCGTCGTTGCCTCGCGCGTGGGCGCCGAAGCTTCGATCTGCATCCGATCGGATCAGAATCATCACCTGCTCATCCGGTGGTTGTGTTTCTGTCTGTCCACCCTGCTGCTGCTGCCTCGTTTGACCTACCGTTTCTTTAATCTGGCGCCAGCAGCATACGTGCTATAGTGTGCTGCCATTGGATGGCCACGTTGTCCATGAACTGGTCAAGAGGAGGACGAAGAGAAATAGAAAAAGGAGAAGCGAATCATTCAACAGCTCGGTACACGAATGGTTGTTGCCGTGTTGCGTTAGGCTTTTGTGAGCTGGTGAGGAGGTTGTCCTCGATGACAAGCTAGGTGTGAAGGACGATGGTTTCTTGATCGGGACGGCCGGGCATCCATGGAAGGTTCTTGCGGCGGTGGCGGCGGCGGCGGCGCCGGGCAGATGGCGGCGTGGCAGGGGAGGGTCGGGGCGACCAACATCGGGAGGCTGCGGCATGGGAAGACGTCGTCGTCGTCGGCGGCGGCGGTGGCGGCGAGGGGCGGCGGCGTGACGGCGTGGCACCTGAGGGTGTTCGCCGGCGTGGTGGGAGTGATGGGGTGCCTCCTGCTGGTGGCGTCCCTGATGATGTCCGCCGTCCACCAGGTGCAGTTCAGGAACGCAGCCATTTCCAGGAGCTTCAGGGGCCTTCAGGTACGCTGCCTACCTCTGCTCTGCTCTCCTCTCATCGAATCAAATCATGGCAAATTAAGCTCAGTTTGATCATCACAAAAGCGTCCCCAAATTGCATCCCATTTTCATCATTTTTTCTAGTCCTTGACTTGTTTTGGTTGAAGTCTCATGGTATGATGGGCTTTCTTACAAACTCGGATTGCAATGATATTTCATCCAAAAAAATATCTGATGGTGCGTTTTTTTTTTCAAAATGAAAACAAAAATGTACTGATTTGGCATGGTCATTGGAACCAATGCGCTCTCAATGCAATAAAAAACTGAATGGAAGTCAGTCTAGCAGCTTGAATTTCCATTCAAATGAAGTACGGTTCCTGTAGAAGGAATGATCAGGACCTAGCAGCATTATATGACACGCTGACTGCTGACATATTATAAATCGTATTGCAAATTTAGATAGAACACCGGTAATTGATTTCTTCATATTCTCGTCGAATCAGTCGACCTGATAATCCCATTTTGTGAATTGAAGGAACTGAAGCAAAATTCTGTAAGGACGGAGAAAGCAGAGCAGATAATGCACCCAAGGCTTCTGCAAATGGCAACTTCAGTTGTCACAAAGGTTTCACGCTGCCATCATACGCGGCACCAAACTGCCAATTAGCTTCAGAAGTAGTGTAATTTACGACATCATATATTTAGCTTTTACTCATGTCAAATTTTCCCTCCCTGCCAGTGCAGAACGAGTCTGACAGTGACAGTGTAAAATTTTCACTATGGGAAGAGCCCTACAAACAAGCACGTAAATGGAAGCCCTGTGCTGCAAAGCATAGTTTACCTGATGAAGGTGAAGCCTTTCCTTTCAAGCAATTGCAATTAGTTTCATTATCATCACCATATCAGGTGACAAAAAGAATTCTTAACCCACCCCTTCTGTATTAAAAGAATGAAAGCCCTTATTGCAGCTTTTTTTTATTGATGCTTGAAGCCTCTGCAATTTGAATTCTTAAACCATCAACATCTAGCATATGCCTACACCCTGAAATGTTTCTGAAGCATGGGAAAATACTATGGTTTAACACAACTATTTCATCTCTCACACTGGATTTGTGCTTCACAGTGCCTGAAGAGAACAACAATGGGTTCATTCTGATCAGCGCGAATGGTGGTCTGAACCAACAGCGTGTGGCTGTAAGGATCTAGTGCTGAAATGCTCACAAAATCCATACTACGTTATTTTCAGATTCAGTAGCTAATAGTTGAATTTTTATCTTCCAGGTGTGTAATGCTGTTGTTGTTGCAGCTCTGCTTAATGCTACACTAGTCCTCCCCAGGTTTCTTTACAGCAGCGTTTGGAAGGACACAAGGTTAGAACTGCAACTATGACTGCCAGTATAAGCTTGGTTCTACCTTTTTCTTTTACTTTTATTGTAAGTAATCATTGCAGTTCTACTAATCGCATTATGGAAAGAAAAGCACACCGAACTGAGTTTATGCTTTTGCTGACATGTATCAATTATCAGTTGAACTGAAATTGATAAACTGCGATACTATTTGCCATCTTTTTATCAAGAAATAATTTTTGGTAACTTTTGTCTGATATGCTTCGCCGAACCTTTCGTTTCGACCAGCCAGTTCGGTGACATATATCAGGAGGACTACTTTGTGAACTACATGAAGAGCGATGTGCACATTGTGAAAGATTTGCCTCCCCATCTTCAGTCACTGGATCTCGAAGCAATCGGCAGCCAAGTTAGTGTCTCTACTCTAACAATTATGCTACCTGATTCTGAGAAAAAAAAATCTATGATCAGTTTGAAGATCATAATTTTTTCACTAAATCTTGAGAAATTTCTGTAGAATTCATGCCCTCTAAAGTCTAAACAGATGCGAAATCTCTCTGTTTCATGACAGATCACAGACATGGACATCTCGAAAGAAGCTGCGCCATCTGAATTCATCAAAGCTGTGCTCCCAATTCTCCAGCAGAATGGCGTTGTCCATTTCCTCGGATTCGGCAACCGGCTCGGCTTCGATTCGGTGCCCGTTCATCTGCAGGTCACGCACACAGTTCATCTTCCTCGATCGTCGCACTTGTCGAGATGAGAGAAGCACCATTGCCATCCATCCTCTGCTTTGCTCATGGCGTCGGCGTCGGTTCTTGCAGAGGCTGCGATGCAGGTGCAACTTCCACGCGCTCAAGTTCGTCCCGGAGATCCAGCGGGCGGGCTCCCTGCTGGTCCAGCGGCTGCGCCGCGCCGGCGCGATGCGGACGGAGATGGACAAGCAGCTGTTCGGGAGCAACATGCTCGACGTCCCCGCCCTCCTCGCCGGCGGCGAGCCGAGCAGGTACCTGGCGCTGCACATGAGGTTCGAGGAGGACATGGTGGCGTACTCGCTCTGCGACTTCGGCGGCGGCGACGCGGAGAGGGAGGAGCTGCAGGCGTACAGGGAGACCCACTTCCCGACGCTCGCCATGCGCCTCCGGAACACGTACGTCTCCGTCTCGATCTCTTGCGGAAGAACCCGATCGCCGGCGTGGTGTCTTGTCTGACACGGTGGCGCCGCCGCCATCGCGTGCGTTTGTGTGTGTGCAGGTCGGTGTCGCCGGAGGAGCAGCGCAGCCTGGGGCGGTGCCCGCTGACGCCGGAGGAAGCCGGGCTCGTGCTCACCGCGCTCGGCTACGACCGCGGGACGTTCATCTACGTCGCCGGGTCACAGATATACGGCGGCGCCGCGCGGCTCCGCCCACTGACGCGCCTCTTCCCCAACCTGGTCACCAAGGAGGACGTCCTCTCCTCCGCCGAGCTAGCCCCATTCAAGAACTTCTCCTCCCGGGTCGGTAAAACATCAAACACCTCCCCTGCAAGCAACGCCATCTCCTCCGTTATTCTGACATCCGAAAGAAAAAAAAAAACAAAATGCAGCTCGCGGCGCTGGACTTCATCGCGTGCGCCTCGGCGGACGTGTTCGCGGTGACGGACTCCGGCAGCCAGCTGTCGTCGCTGGTGTCCGGGTACCGGGTGTACCACGGCAGGGGGAGGGCGCCGACGCTGCACCCGAACCGGAAGCGATACGCGCAGATCCTGGGCGAGGAGGAGGGGATCGGGTGGGGCGGATTCGAGAGGAGGGTGAGGAACATGGTGGAGGAGTACAAGCGGGTCAGCGCGCGGCCGCGGGGGCGGAGCGTGTACCGGCAGCCGAGGACGCCCGGGTGCATGTGCAGGGCAGCCGGCGACGGCAGCGTCGACTTCTGATGACGGCGCCGCCCGCCGGCGAGTTCTCCGCGTCTCGATCGAAATTCTTTTGTGCATAGCTCGGTTTCTAATTTTCTATAGGTTTTTCGGGTCGTTTTAACCTTTTAATAGCTCTAGGATACACGGCAGGTTTAAATGATCAAATTTTGAATTTTTTTTACAGGCTGTTTTTAGATTGTAACAAACAGATTTGAAAAAGGTGCAATTCAAAATTATGTGTCTGAAATATTGTTCATGCTACATATCTAGCTACATTGCAATTTGCAACACCCTTTATGCTTTTTCTTTTTTAAAATAAAATCCAAATACTACCTTAAATTTGATCGAGAGTTTCTATAGCACCGTAAACTTTAAAACCGAACATCCAACCCTCCACTCTTTACAGTACCGTTTATATAACTTTTTAGAGTGGTTTTATATCTTATCTCTATATACTTTAGATAAATTTGACTACGTAAGATACGAATTGGACATATGTGTTAAAATTTTTACCCAAATATTTCTTTTTAAACCCTTTCGCTCTCACTAACAAATGAATGTCAACAATATATCACTACACATGACATCACTATGGAGTATAAATTGAGAATCGAGGACGATATATAAGTATGTTATATTATGTCATGATTATGGATAAGACATACATTCTATCCTACGACTTATGGAATATACGGATATGGCATATCTTCGTGCAAACGATATATTTCCATATACGATAAGGAAACTAACATGAGATTATAGAAATTATCCTCACGGGCAAGTGAATATCAGAGTCATACTCGAAGAGGATTGGGTTTATGCTATATCGTGCGGGTCCATAGTCTCTGAGTTCTACTTGGAGACTAAGGTGATTCACGGTATAAAAGGCATACCCCCGAGGGGTTCAAATAATCGAATCACAGCGCCAACACAACCACCATAGTCTACAATCCGGAGAACGTGAAGCCTACTCGCCGGGAGATCTCGTCGAAACCATCTCGACGAGGGATCTCACCGGTAATCTCGAGATCATCGGTTCTCTATTGTAATCTGTGGCTTTTCTATATCAATCTCATATAAACTGGATTAGGACTATTACCTTACGAGGGGTCTGAATCAGTATAATCCTTGTCTTATCGTTTGCTTGATGTCGTATCATGTATATCCTCGTACCAACGTACGTACCCCAATACCCTATTCATCCGGTATATGGGTATCCCCGTCGACATATTAAGTATTCAAAAACACTCATATAAGCATCCGAATACGCAAAACCACTATCTAAAACCATCTTACGGGATAATATAAATGATATTCCAAAATTTAGGGGGTTCGATATTTGGTTTTAAAGTTTAGGGGTGCCGGATGGACTTTCACCTAAAGTTTACATGTGTATATAGACTTTTTCTTTTTTCCTTTGGCAAAAATTCGAAACTTCGGGGCTACATTCCTTATAAGCCAGTCAAGTTTTTATCGTACTTTTGACTTGGGACTAAACCTACTAGTAATAAGAACTACTGCTGCTCATTATTATTAGGGCACGTTCTAACGTGCCTACATATATTTACATAATTTTATTCGTGCTCGCTCTCAAAAATATGCATTCTAAATAAAATTCTACTGAAACTACTTAGATAATTTTTCCCAACTACTCGCTAGAAAAATCATCAAATAATTATAAAGCTAAAAAACACTGATAATATTATATTATACAAATGTGAATATTTTGATAATTAATTGATGAAAAAATAAATATTTACATGGTTACATAATATGGTGGATTCGGAACAGGAACAGGGTACAGAGGGAGGAACATGGGAGTCACATCCCCACACTGCAACTGTATTATGAGTCCTATGGTGTTGTTTACTAGTAGTAAAATAAAGAGTAAAGTTCATTACCGGTCTCTAAACTTGTACCGCTGTGTCATTCCGGTCTCTAAACTCGTAAATCGACCGTTCAGGTCCTCAAACTTGTTCGACTGTGTTATCCCGGTCCCTAAACTTGCTTATCACTCATTTAGGTCCTCCAACTTGTTCAGATGTGTCACCCCGGTCCCTAAATTTGGATTTGAATATCATCTGGGTTAAATAGGACGGTCTAAAGACTTTATATTTAAAAATAATTTATAACTTTTTCATGTGAACTCTAATGAAGACAAACTTTATATCAAACTTGTAGCCCTCGACGCGATCTACAACTTTGTAGTTGAATTTTTTTTATTGTAAGTCATTTTTTGTCCCAAAATGTAATTTTAAAATTAAAATTTCAAAATCTATAAACATGCAACAATATTTTGGGACACTAAACAGTTTTAATTCAAAACCTTTTCAACTACAAAGTTGTAGGTCGCGTCGAGGGCTATAATTTTGATATAAAGTTTATCTTCATTAGAGTTCACATGAAAAAGTTATGAATTATTTTTTGATATAACGTTTTTAGATCGTCTTGTTTAGGGACCGGGGTGACACAACTGAACAAGTTGGATGACCTAAACGAGTGATCTGCAAGTTTAGAACCGGGATGACACAGTCGAATAAGTTTGTGGATCTGAACGGTCGATTTACGAGTTTAGGGATCAGGATGACACAGCGGTACAAATTTAGGGACCGGTGATGGATTTTAAATAAATACAAACCGTTGATCTTTAACGGTAGTAAACAGATAAGAGGGTATAATTTAAGCCTGCTAATGGGTCAGAATCCACCCCGAATCTAACCCAGTCCAAAAGCGCTTGTAACAACTCTGTCGATCCAATCCAATCAAAAAAACTCTCTTAGCTAACCCCACCCAACCCAACTTGCAACGTTCCTCAAACCAAGTTCAACCCAATCCATGGGTTAAACCCATTTCTCAGACTGTCGACTGTTGACGGGGCATACCTGTAAACCGGATATAGAGGGTATTGGGGTATGTTGGTACGAGGATCTACGTAGTACGATATCAAGCAAACAAAAGACAAGGATTATACTGGTTCAGGCCCCTTGGTAGGTAATAGCGCTAATTTAGTTGGTATGGGATTATATGATGGAAACCACATATTACAAAGGGAATAACGGAACTCGATGATACCGACGAGACCATAGTTGAGTTAGTTCGACTAGATCACCCGGCGACCTGGCTCCTGTAGGCTCCGACTTCGTAGGCTGTGGTGGATGTGTTGGCGGTAATATTCGATGCCCTAGGTCTTGCCCAGGGGGTCCCTTTTATACCGCTGGTCAGTTGATCTCCAAGTAGGACTCAGAGATATCGGACCCCTCACAATATGGTAAAGACTCAGTCTCGTCCGAGTAGGACTCCTTCCACCCGTGGATTCTGTTTCTATCACGTGATAGATTTCCTTAACGCATATAGGATCTATCCGTATACGCGCGGGTATACCGTATCGGTACTCATCGTATATCCAGGATAGATGGTATACCTTATCCGTAACTCTGACACAGACCACAGCTAATCCATGGATTATGAACTGGTTTGCCTCCACACGGAGGGGAATGCAGAAGCTGCAGGGGCAAAACAGGTGAGCTAAAACAGCCTAACACCACCATGCATCAATACATGCAGCCTACTAGCAGACTTGAAAATCCCAGAATTTTATTAGAAATTACTAACCAAAGGTTACAGCTACTAACCAGGGATTACAACATTACTAAAAATTATAGTGTTACTAATAACTACAGATTACAGGCTCAACACTTCACATCTTCAGCAAAGCTACCTAAACATGCCATTCAACACCATGAAAAATAACAGAACATCAACAGTTATTTGTGTCTCCATCTTTAGATCACCTTCTAAGAGAATCAAAATTCCTTCCAATTCTCAGTCACACTTTCTTGAGAAGGTAAGCAAAATAATTAATTATGATGATGCAAATGGTGGTTTCTGAAATTCAGAGAAGTTCAGCAATATTCAGAAAGCAAAGCAAAACAAGAACTCTAGTTAGCAGATAGCATCAAACATGCCAGAAACAGAGCTATAAAGGTAAAGAAAACCAAACTCGCAAAGTAATAACTGCTTCCAAACACACGAGATCACCCAGGGTTAGTGATCAGAACCAAGAAAGATCATGTTAAATAAGAAAATTAAGTGTTCGATGAAAACAGAGAGTAGATTGGTAGAAGAGTAAACTGAACCATGAGGTGAAGGATCCAATCAGCTTAGGACACACCTGGAAAGAAAACTCGATGACGATCTAGAAGGCCGGTGGTGAACCATTTTTGGTGCCGACAGTAGGGAGTAGAGGAGGTTAGAGGTGGCGGAGCGGTGCTGGGAGAGGACGATTGGGGCAGCAACACCGGCGGTGGTGGAGAGGACTGGCGGAGGAAGCCGATGGAGTCACCTGTAGAAAGCCAACGAGGCCGGCGAGGGCGACCAGCAACCAGCAGCACCGCCCGACGATGATGGCGGCGGAGTGGAGCAACGGCCCTGTCTGCCCTAGCAACTACTCGAGTACTCATTTCTTCAGTTTTGGGGCCAATCCATGTGGTCAACCCATGGATTTAGTCCATGAATCAACATTTTTAGTCAGTCTGCATCCACTCCAATCCAACCCACATTTGTTGAGAGTCCAATCCACTCCAATCCAAGATGGAATCTCAGCCCATCATATCCCATACCAACCAAAACGATCCAAACCAAAAGTTAGATTGGGTACTTGGAAGCATTTGTATACTAGACATATGGAGTATCAAAGATGCTTTCGTCTCAGCAATGCTGCAAGGCAACAAACATGTGTCGATCCTCATATTCGGACGGCAATTTTTTTATCATATTTTTATTTAAATTTTTTAGATAATGAAATAGAAAACCATCTTGATCTTTGCTTAAGCTAGTTACAATCAATTATTACACTAAATCACTCAAAATGAGTGCAACTCAAAGAAAATGTGGAGATTATGATTACCCCATATCTACATGGCGGTTATATTCCAGCCGGATATACGGTACCAAATATAGATAGAATATCTTTACGAGGACTCGGGTTAGATTCTAAACTTGTATGTCAAGAAACTACCCGGGATCCTAGTCAGTTACGATTGTATTTTATCTGTAATCCCATATTCTGTTAGGATATGGATTGTACTTTGTATTACAGATCCCTTTCCCTATATAAGGAGGGGTCCGTGTTCCTCTCGGGACGATTCTTTTTTCCCAATCATACAATCAATTACATACTCGGCGGAATCATCCCCGGACAGGAGTAGGATATTACTTCTTGAATAAGAAGGCCTGAACCTGTATAAA